TATATTTTCACTAAAGATCATAATATCAAAGTTTGGACGATGACTAAAAATTCATCCTGTATTAACCATGGTTTCTTTTAGGTCATACAGTAGGTGAAGAATTTAGGAATCGTAAGGGTTACTTTTCCTTAAATGTTCAAGCACTTTTTTTTTGAAATTTTGCACAGACTCTAGATGAAGTACACATTATTTTGGTTCCTTTAATATAACTACGCCTTTCTGTGACATCCATAGATTTAGTCTTTAGTGACATCCGTATATTTTCTATTCCTAGTTTCCATTTTGTATGTTTTTTGCGCGCACTTAAATACTTACCTTGACTACAAAAGTAAGTATTTACTAATTGTAATAAAACCATCTCGATTTATTATGGTTTTTCTTATTTTTTAAATTTATTGTTATCAAATTATTAATGCAGTCATTGACTTACAATTATATGGACGTCGGGTCCGCGCTAAAAAGTGTCCGCACTTGTAAGGCGCTAAAATCGTATACAGAGCGCCAAACTCCGCTTTAGTCTTTATTTGTTCGACTGACAGCGCGATACTGCGATGACATTACAATTTAAATTTCGAATAGGTTGACTTGGGACATTTTTTTCGTGGTTTTTGTATTAGACCCGTCGTCCATTTATTTGTAAGTCAATGAATGCAGTTAAATAACTATGAAATCTTAACATAACGTTGTGTCAAATACTGGTACTCCGATCTCACGGTGTCATAGTCAACTATATGGACATTAGAAATTTTGCCTGTCATACACTGGTACAATTTTAGAGGTAGCGGAAAACTGGAATGTATTAATAATGCCTATGATTATTTTAAATTTTATAGTTCCTAGAAGATAAATGACAAACCGTTTAATATGTTAACATACCTAGGTAGTCAGTATGACTTATAATTAAGTACTTTTGGCAAAATACGTGATTTTCCGTCTAAAAGCGTCAACCACTGGGAAATTTACCTTATTTCTTTCTTCGTAGGTATATACTTTCTTCATAATATACTTAAAATAAAATTTATCTTTGTAAAAACTGTACTTGTGACTTTAAAAGCCCGCCATTTTTTCCCTGTGACACTTTTTTATATATACTTTTGGCTTGGATACAAATCCTTTGCGCCATGTCTTCATTTATTTATCGAGATCCTTAGTAATACTTTCCATTGTAGTTCTAATTCTAATATTTTATGTTTTCACTTTCTCTTAAATGACTTAGTTCACTTATTTGGCTTATTCGAATAGTCTTTTAAGCGGCGGGGGTCAATAATTATGGTTAACTTTCACTTGGATTACATTATCTTCTATTACTTTGAATAAAACCTTTGAATTCGTAATTAGTAGAATTTTCAGGATAGTCTTTTGTAATTTGGTTTAAAATGAGGAATATAGTTCTAACTTTCTTCATCACTATTTCTTTCTTCGTTTTTTTCCTCATAATATAATAAAAATAAAAATATAATCGTTGTAAAAACTGTACTCGTAACTTCAAAAACCCGCCATTTTTCGGAGACCGTGTGACACTTCATTTGACGTTTGTCATAGGGATAAGGTAAAGTCGATAGATTTTTAGTTTAATTGATTTTTGAAGCAAAGGTTCTTTCTTATACAGCCTTGTATAATATTACGGATTTGAGTTTTTAAAATAATTAATTCCCTTGAATTGAGTATAAATGTTTATTTTATTTTTGATATCTGATCCGATATTTCAAAGGAGTAGGTACCGAAGAAAAAGTAAATTAAATGTAAATGAAGCTTTTGTTTAGGATTCAATAGCCATCGCCAGCAGTATGTGAACTATAATAATTGCACTTACAACCAATTATAGGGTTATAAATCTATGAAATTGTTTAAGAATTATTTTGACGTTGATCTTGAGATGTGTCCATAGTGTCAATTTAATTTATTACGAGTGTTGACACCTTGTATGTATGTGCCATGTATTTTTTATATTCCCTGTTGTGGTTTCTGTTAAAGTTATTTGCTTTTGTTATTGTTTTTATTTCTTGACTTTTAGTTTATTTTGTTTAATGTGACTGTTGTTTAGCCATGCTGAAAAGACTAAAAAAGATTGTCCTCAACCGTCAAATGCGGTAATTGGAAGTGAAACAAAATAATGGACCTCTCCTGCCTCTCGAAAACGTTGTATAGATGTATGAAGAGTTTTGTATTGCATTCAAGGCATAAAACACCCAACTTAATTCAAATGCCATTTCAATTGATATTTTAATAAATTTGAGACTCATAATGTAGATTAAGAACATTAATATCATATCACTAATTACTTAATAGGTTAAACTCATGTACAATACGCACTATGTATTTATTCATTATAAATATAAATCATTCATTATAAATCATCGAAAACTTTTTATCGATATACCTCATCTCTATCAAATGCAGTCTAATGAAGTAATACGTAGTATCTCTTATTAGTTTGTGTGAAGTAACCTTTGTATGTACGTTGTCGTAAAATAAATAAATTTTTGAGAAAATAATTGTTTCTCTGGTAATTTCTCACTAATTTAGTGTTACTTTTACTTTAATTTTATGTACTTGCTTAAACAAAATGTATCCACTTAAAAGTGAGACTTATAAAAATAGTTTATAAACACACTGGTTACAAGGTTATACAGGGTGTTGATTTGCATTCTCGCCATATTTAAAAAATTAATAATATAAGTAATGCTAAATCATCTAAAAATATTTTAAAAATATTCTGTTCAATATTCTGGCTAATTGTATCGAGTAAAGTTTTGAAAAATTGTCCCGCAAGTGTACTCACCGCAGAGGACAGTGACCCCGCCACTCGCTTCACCGAGCGATACGGAATCTTTCTCGTTCGCTTATTTACCCATTTTTAAATCATGTTTATGTATTAGTATTGTTATAATTTACTAATTATTTACATGAGTTAGAAAAGTTGACTGAAAAAAGATTTATTGTAATTTAGGTTTGGTACTTACCAACTTTAGGTTACATGAAAGTAGTGTTAGAAGTACCTAGCTCCACAGCTGGTGGCAGGCTCCGTGTCGGAGCCAGCCACAAATATGCAAAGTTTCGTTTCAACTTAGCACATTCTTCACAACAGAAAAAGCAGAAAGAAACCAAAGACGATTTTTGCCCGCAATTTTTCGACACTCGGAATCTGCGTTAACTAAATGTTTCACATCATGCCATAAGAACACATTTTATGGTAATGCACATGGTAGCGGTTATTTTTGCACTAACTCTTGTTTACATCACACACAAACCACGTTGAATTTCGTGAGAAACTAGAATATATGCGCGATGAACGCAGACGCAGTACGCAAGGTGGACTGATGATCTACCAATCACGCGCTCGATACGATTCACCCCCCGTCTCTACTCGTACCCTGCCGCCAAATAGAACTAAAATGCATATTTTCTGCGCATACTGCGCATTGGACCATTCTACAAATGGTTGCCGGTACCTGTGTCACGTGTAGTGCAAGTCAATGACCTTTGGATCAAGCTTGGTTACCGCAATTAAATAAAAATTTAGGATCTTTTTTTTTATTTATTTTTTTAGTGATTTGGGTTCAGTTCCGGATATAGAATGACCTCTGTAAATATGGCGAGAATGCAAATCAACACATTGTATTATTGTAATCTGTGAAAGTATGCCGTTTCGACTTTATGTTTTCGATGTGACCCATCACTATTTTTTTTGCCATGAGTAGATGGGAAAAACTGCCTATTTTTCTAAACGTGTAAGCCTTATGCTTTTTTAAAAAAGCGTGCTTTTTAAACGCTTTTTCAGTTAAACGCTTTTTAGTTTGAAGCTTACAAAACCAGTTAGAAAACGTTTAAGTGCATAGACTTTATGTTTAAAAAAGCTTGCAACGTTATGTTGAATTAATTTCTTTAGGAAACCTAGATGGCGCTTATTATTTGAAACTTAGGCACGTTGTAAAAAATGAAATTGTTGAGCTGTCCAGTGATAACGCTTACGCTTAAAATGAAAACCGTTCTTATATGCTTATTTTAAGAAGCAGACTTTTTAAGTGCTTTTCGTTTAAACGCCCATTTCTATCCTTGAGAATAGACTTTATCGTACCGGGATTCGCTCTGGGCCTTGTGGAGGGAAAAGTGTCGTTTTTATTTTGACTTTCAATTATTTTGTAAAATCTAGATCAAAGTGGATTATGATAGTGCTATTGTGCCTTAATCGAAGATTAAAACGCGAAATTATACGAATCTCGAACTAAAATACCCGTATCGGCCCGATTTAAGGAATCCCGAGTCAATCTAAACACGCCGCCTCAAATTGCATATCCTCTTTGTGGCGGCCATATTTACAGAAACATAATTAAACTTCATGTCTAGGCTGATGGCTTTGCCAAAGCCTAAATAAATAAATAAAAAATTCACAACACTAACAAATTATATTAATTATTTATTTTCATAAATATTAATAATATTTGTCAGTGTAATTGAATGCTAAAATTGATTTTGCAATGATTTACGAATTTCAATGGTTTAAGTATAAGAACGGTAACGTAAAAGCTTGTAAAAGATGTATTTTTGCTACTACAAATTTTCGTCGTCTGAATTTTTGCCGATCTGTCAATGTCATTCTGATCAAGCAACAATAGTTTCCATAGTCTAAGAGCAACAATGACTTGTTATCTTGCTTGATATCTGATTATAATACTCACAGGACATTGGCGAAATCGCCATTTTTTTGTATAATTTTTATAATAATATTAAACTACCGTACGTAGTTATTTTTACTTGACATTGGCAAAATCATTGATTATTTCGATGGAGCCATAACATTTAAAAGAAGAAGAAGATATCTGATAGACAAAAAAGATATAGTAGGAACAATGATATTAAATACTTTTAAACAATATGCTCACTGATTAGGAAGCTAGCTTGGACTTTGACGGAGAGTAAACTTTTTATCTTAATTAACATACATACATGCCAAACTAAACAGAGTTCGGACTGGCCAAAGTAAAGTATACTTTTCCGATTAGATCGGAATCGGAATTACGCGTTGCATATATATGTCAAACTACTTGGATTATTTGAGGTAAATTAAACCTATATAATGTAAATATGTGAGAATACGGGTTTACATTTGGATCACATTGCAACAACAGCAAGTGCAATTTTTATGATTTTTCATATGAACCAAAGTAAAAATGACTTCTAGCCCGGAAAATTCATTTAGAGACACAATTTTTTATTGTCTTGAACAGCAAATTAATGAACTAGAGTTGTTAAAGTCCATGTATCCAAATCCAGAAGATATTGTTCTAACTGACAACAAAGTCTTACAGGATATTCAAGATTTCTTAGATAATAAAACAGATTATATTCCTAATCACCTAGATTTTGTGATAAACCTCTTAATAAATGAATTGAAATTGGAAATCTGTGTGAATTTGCCAAGCTTGTATCCAAAGGAGGAGCCTGATATTTATGTGCGATGTAATCAATTAAATCGCCAGCAAGAAAAAAGTTTAAATACTGATTTATCTGAACACATGAAAAGCAATTACCAGGCTGATGTTTGCTTGTATACTGTAATATCTTGGCTCCAGGAAAATATTTGTATTGACACTACTAATACAGTGCATGATGACATGTCACAAGTTGACGAAGGAGCAACGGTAGAAGAATACAAATTTGTAAGGTATTGGATTTTATCCCATCACATATACAATAAAAGGAAAAGAGAAGAAATAGTAAAAAAAGCCAAAGATTTAAAACTAACTGGCTTTTGTTTACCTGGTAAACCTGGTATAATTTGTATAGAAGGAATGGACAGTGATTGTAATGAATGGTGGAAAGATATAAAATCAATGTCTTGGAAGAAAATTGGTATAAGAAAAACTGAAGTATTTGAACCTTCAGAACAAAAAAATCAACAAAAGTTCTTTAAATTTGAGGAATTACATTTTCAAAATGCATCTCGCTTAAATAAGCATGCGGATATGAGTGGATTTTCTAAATATTTGGATGAACATGGTCTCATTCAAGCATTTAATGAATTATTTGGATTGTCTAATGAACTACGAATCTAGGTAGAAAAGTTTAATTTTTTTAAATTATTTTTTACGTTATTGTATATAGTACCTACATAAATAATAAAATTATTTTTTATTCAACATTGATTGTAGTTTCAGTTGATTGACTTGTTTACATAACATATTTTATTATTCTCTGTCATCTCATATACCTGTGACTACCAATTGAATTGTTTTGTAAGGTGCATATTAACATATGCATATAAATTAAGTAGGCAGAATTGATTCTGACATAAACTGAGCTCTGTAAATTTGTTTATTTTAATTAATATTATATTATGTAATGTATATAAACATTATATACAGTGTTATAATATATTACACCTTAAAGAACAACTTTTCTTCCATGACTGTTAATAAAACAATAAATTTACCAAAAATAAACTTAAGTTTTTGTTGTAGTATTTGATATGACACTTTTTAGATCTGTATTTGGTAGTAAGGTAAGTTCAAATGTGCAAGCGTTTTTTTCAAATTTTAGTAACCCTGCAGATTGAAAATTACAGATTAATCTAAAAGGAAATCACAAATCGCAGCATTTATTCACTTGATTGAAAGTCATAGTCATAATACAGTACGTAGGTTATACAAAACATTCTAAGTACCTATTATTATAATACATCATAAATTTCGTTTCTTTCTAATTTCTTTTCTAATCGTACACTTTATTATTATTCCACTATAGAGCATGATGACTCAATTAAACCTATACAGTTTGGCATGAAATGCGTGAAAGTCAAAGAATCTTCCGAGGCAGGCTAAAGTGGTGTCAGAAAAATGAGGAACAGATCAGAATGGATATGATAGCAGCGCATAGAGCCTCCAAGAACTTCGTTCAGTTTTGGAAGTTGACCAATAAACTGAACGTTAAGCCGAGTTTGCCTACAAATGTGTCAGGTTGCAACACTGAGGGAGACATAAAATTTTTCAATTGCAATGAAATCAATGCGACGTGTCGCAATTGATATTGCAATCAATTAAATATATATTGATATCAATTATATATTGCAATCAATTAAATCAATTGCGACACGTCGCAATTGATTTAATTGATTGCAATTGCGACGTGTCGCAATTGATTTAATTGATTGCAATTGACTTCGATTGAATTGATTTTAATTGTAATTAATTTTTTTAGTTGTTCTAAGAAACAATTGAAACTAACAATTAAAACCGAAGGTATCGATTAAAAATGTCATTACGAATATGGGTTAGGGGGTGGGTCAGGGGTGCGTTAGGGGTTCGGTTAGGGGGTCGGTTCGGGGGCCGGTCAGGGGTGAGTGACCCACCCCTAACCCAACCCACCCACACACCCGCTCACCCACCTACTCACCCACCCACTCATCCGCTCACCCACCTACTCACCTACGACCCACCCCTAACTCACCCATGACCCCCCCCTAACCCACCCTCTAACCCACCTCCTGACCCACCCCCTAACTCACCCCTAACCCCCCAATCCAAATCCTAACTCACCCCATAAACCACCCCCATATGTCCTCTAAATTTATCATAATTGTCAGTTTTAATTGTTAATTGTTAATGAAAAGATTGAAAATTGATTAATTGTTAATTGTAGTTGCGAGAAGCGGAATTAATAATTAACTAATTGTTAATTGCGGTTCTCACAACTAACAATTGATCAATCGTTAATTGCTGTTTCGCAATTGACAATTAATTAATTGTCAATCTTTAATTACCAGAACAATTAAATTTTGCCCAGAGTGTTGGCTATGTTCTTCGGTCTGTGTATTAGGCATTCTCATTTGCCGCCTGAAATGCTTAAGCTTAAGTGCCAGTAGTTAAAAATATAACGGGGAATATTGCCACTCATGAAAATTTCCATCCGATATAGCTGGCCACAGTTGTGCTAGTTGTGTGTTGCTACGAGTACGGCGCTGCGGATGACACCGCGCAGCACACCCTAGAGGTGTGTAGCCGGTGGGATGAGCAGCGCCGCACTCTGACGGAGACTGTAGGGCAGGACCTCTCGCTGCCGAGCGTGGTTGCCGCCATGCTCGATAGCGAGGAGTCCTGGGAGGCGGTGGCATCCTTTTGCGCAGAGGTTATGTCGCAAAAGGAGGCCGCGGAGCGGGTGCGCGAGGACGCGCCGGACGCGCACCCGCTCCGGCGCAGACGTACGGGGAGAAGGCGAAGGCAGGTCGCTGCTCGCCTGATCCCCTAGTGAGACCAGCGGGCTATGGACAGGGACTCCGGAGCCTGCATTGCACGGCCTCACTCGTCTGGGGGGCGGGTCGGAGGACAACCGACTCGCCCCTCCGTTGGCGCGGGAGCCCTGGCGTAAGCTAGGGCGGCCGGGCGGCGTCGTGGTGAATGTTCACTGATCCCACGGCGCCGACTCAACCGACGAGAGGGAAACCCGGGGGGTTTTAGTGGGATAGGCCCTCCAGTCTGGAGGGAGAGTCCCCACATAACCCCTGAGTCTCCCTGGGCTCAGGGGTATCCATAAAGATTTCCCCCGCGTCAAAAAAAAAGGGTTGTGTGTTGCTAAGGTATTGGACAGTCTGCTGGACAAATATTTGGACCTGCACGACGCTCAGTTCGGCTTTAGGCCAGGGGTTTCCACAGAAAGCGCCATATTATGTCTTAAGCAGACTGTCCGATACTACACGGAGAGACGCACAGCGGTGTACGCCTGTTTTCTTGATCTCTCTAAAGCTTTTGACTTGGTAGTTATAACATTCTCTGGGACAAGCTCGAGAAGGCAGGCGTACACACGGACATGATAAGTGTGCTAAAGTGCTGGTACACGAACCAGCAAAATAATGTAAGATGCGGAGGGGCTTTCTCGGATGCGTACAGGGTGGAGTGTGGGGTGAGACTGGGGGGTTTGACCTCGCCAAAGTTCTTTAACCTGTACGTAGACGAGCTGATCGTTGGACTCAGCAGTAAGCCTGTTGGACATCAGAGTAAATAACATCAGTTATGTCGACGATATGGCGCTGCTGGGTCCAACGGCGGACTCATTTGCGGAGCTCCTTCGGTTTGTGTCAAGAGTGAGTATAAACTCACTCTTGACACAACTCACGACTCCCGGTCTTTGGGATCCCCGATAGAGTGATGTCTTATGAACCTAAAATTAATATAAATGAGGTGGCGCTAAAGAGGGTAAGCAGATTTAAATATATAAGACATTACTTGGCGGAGGATCTTAGAGACCAAACTGACATTGATCGTGAACGTAGGGTGTTGGCTGTCAGATGTAATATGTTGGCACATAGATTCGCCCGCTGTAGTGAGGAAGCCAAAATAACTTTATTCAAGGCGTATTGTCAATCCTTCTACACGGGTGTTCTGTGGGTTAACTATACGCAGAGGGCACTCTACGCCCTGCGCGTTCAATAAATAACGGTTTCAGGATGCTGTTGGGACTACCGCGATATTGTAGCGCATCGTCGATGTTTGCTCAAGCGGGAGTAGGCGACGTTTTTGCTGTGATGCGAAAAAAGACGGCGTCACTACTTTCTAGACTGCGTTCTAGTCCTAACAGCATCCTAAAAACGTTTGTGGCTAAGCTCGATGCGTCATTTCGTCCAGGTTCTGGTGAGGTGATGGGGTAATCGGCGGTGCCTCGAGCGACGTAATGTGTTTTTATGTTTTATGTTTTGTCTACTAACAATAATCATAAGTTTAAAAATGTCTGTATTTTACTAAAAAGTGGGCCTTGGATGCCAAATAAATTATTTATTATTATTATTATTATTATAAAATAAAATTAACGGAGCTACCTACCTGAGCGCAGCGAGCGAAACCTTGGCAACCACCGATTTGCTTGAAGCGCCTATGTTGAAAAATACAATTCTACAGGTTGTAACGGCGCTCAAATTTTAAATTTCGATCTGTGACGTCACTGAATTTTATTCCACGTGCTTCCATCTTGCGGCCAGTAGCTGGACTACGACGAATGACTAACATCTGAATCAATTCGACAAGCGGAAAAAAAATATTAAAATAAGACTTACCGATCGATGATATAAAATACTACTACTCTACGGGTAATATTTTGGTGCGGCTATCATTTTTGCGTTCCAAAACAGCACAATAAAGCATTTTTCAGCGATTTTAGAGAATTTGCGCGAAAGAATGACTCACCCATAATACCATACAAAGCGAAAATGGCGGACTGAGCTGAAGTAGGTCTTTCAAGACCTAATCGCGTCAGACGCTAACTAACCACTTCTACTTTATTTATTGTTCTATGCTATAAAAGATTCGGATGAAATAAAGGTTACCTCATTTCAGCCTTTGCCAGTTCATCCGCTGACTCATTCATTACCCTTGACGTCAGAGTGGCTTGGAACCCAGCGCAGAACCACTATTACTTCCACCGAGAGTAGTTATACTACACAGGGTGTCTATTAAGTCGACGTCAAGCTGGGACGGGGATGCTATGGAGGTCATGGCCTATAAAAAGCCCACAGTATTGTAATATCTCTAATGGTTTTTAAAAATTAAAGATTTTATACACATTACGATTTTTACGTTTTATGTTTTATATTGTGCTTCATGTACACCATCAGCACAGTTCAAGGATTATTCCAATACTAGGAGGCGTACGCCACGGTGACGGTATATCTCCGATGCTATTTATAAACGCACTTAAGATGTCTTCAAAACTCCTGAAATAGACAAATACTAACATAGTACAAGTATGTATAATTTTACAGTCAGAACGTTGACAAAGTCAACATCAACCATAGATTATTCATAGTATATAACATTCGTTCATCCCTACAAGTTACAACATCTCCTCAATGAGCCGCCGCGGCTATCTGATAGTGCGCTCACTGCGCCTTGGTGCTCCCTGCCTGGAAGTCGTGGCATGTGGCGAATATGTAGTGGCACTGCATGCCCGTAGTTGGGTGGCAGCTGAGTTCTGCGTTCCCGATGAACTTGTAACGGGTTCCACCACACTAGTGTTCATATGAGGCGAGTCTCGAGTGGTATGACAAGTGACCAACTTGACGATTCGGATGGTTGTTGCGAAGTTCGGTAAGAAGGCTCCGGCTGTCGATTAGATATAGACGATGGTAGCTGAGAGCCACCAGTAGAAACTGGGTTGATAGGATCGGGTAACCGGAAACGTACATGATCAGCATGATATCTCTTTTCTACCCCATCGGCAGCGTCTACAGTGTACGAATATCTATGTGTACGCCTCGCTATGGTAGCAGGTTCCTATCGTGTCCCATCCCGGGCGCGGACAAACACGCTTTCCCCTGATTTAAAAGATGGTCTTAGACTGTCTGAATTTATGTTGGCTTGTGTCTGTCTGTGCTGCAGGGCCTTTTTAGAATTAGGACGTGCATTATTGAGAATACAATGCAGCTGACGCCCGAACATTATTTGTCCTGAGCTCTTGCCGGTGGTGGAATGAGGAGTTATGCGGTAAGAAAAAAGGAAATTTTCTAGTCGTCTTTTCAGGGTAAGGTGATCATTTGCACTTGACGAAATTCTGGACTTGAAAGTGCGGACCAGGCGTTCGGCTAAGCCGTTTGTCCGGGTATAGTACGGGGACGATTTGATGTGTGTCATACCTTTGTCTCTACAATAGTCTTGAAATTCCCGGGAAGTGAACCGTGGCCCATTGTCAAAGACAAAGAATTGAGGGAAACTGAAGGTAGTGAATATGGAATTTAACTCTTCGCACAGTTTAGATGTGGTTATTTGGTTCATGGGCTTAATTTCGATCCGTTTGGAGAGTGCGTCTGTTAGGAGAAACCAGTACTTTCCCTCGAATGGGCTCGCAACATCGATGTGTAGTTTCTCCCATGGGTTATCAGGAACTGACCATGAGTATAAAGGGAATTCAGAATTATTGGGCCGGTTCTCTTGACATTTGCGACAACGTTTGATGTACTCCTCAATATCTTCGTCTATGGACGGCCACCATACATAAAAACGCGCTAGCGCTCTCATTGCGGATGTGCCCAGGTATCCGGTATGCAGGTATATCAAGGTGGCCCTTCTCAGCGTGGTCGGTATTACGGTATTACTAGTATAGTATTGTATTATGTGTGGTATTGCTATTCGACCTTGCCACAATAAAATCTTATTTTCAATTGACAATTCTGTGCGCTACCGAGCGTAGCCTTTAAGTCATCTGAGTAAATATTTTCACACCAACCGGTCTTAATGTAATGTGAAACCTGTTTGAGTATAGGGTCCTTTCTTGAGGCATCTCGTATAATGTTCTCCGTTAAAAAAATAAGCATGGTTTCCCATCTCCAGGAGCTGTGAAGTGATTGTTGTGCTTGTGCGGACAGAAAAAATGGCGGGGCTTTAAAGTTACAAGTACAGTTTTTACCAAGATTAATTTTATTTTAAGTATATTATGAAAAAAGTACGAAGGATGAAATAGTGATGAAGAAACTTAGAGCTATATTCCTTATTTTACACCAAGTTATAAATGAGTTTATCCTAAAAATTTCAATAATAACGAATTCAAACTTTTGTTCAAAGTGCCAATAATGTGATGTGAAAACATAAATATTGACTCCCGCTGCTTATAAGACTATTTAGTAAGCCCAAACAAGAGAACTAAGTTATTTAAGAGAAAGTGAAAACATAATGTTGCAGAACCACAATGGAAAATATTTAAAATGAGGATACCGATCATTATTAAAAAAGACATGGCTCAAAGGACTTGCATCCAAGCCAAAACAACACTTGTAATAAAAAAATGGTTGTGCTCCGACCAGCGTTGCCAGTTTGTGCGGAATTTCCCAAATTGCGGGGAATTTCAACTAGATTGGGGAGTTTGTGGAGATTGGCGCTAAGTGGGAAAAACGTGGATTCTAACATTTTATCATTTTGTTTAAACAATCAATTGCTGATGCATCGGTAATTTGATCGTTACTGTGATGAACTATATCGATGTGTTTTTCAACATCGCACATCCCTCGCATTATTAACAAGCAGCTTAAATAGAATTATTATCAGAGCACTTGGTTTTGAATTGTAAAATTACTATCGGTACGTATTGAGTTCGTGATTCTTTCTCCCGCTTAGGCCGGTCCTCGGTATGAAGCAAAACGAAATCAGCTATTGATAAACAAAGCCGTGCAGTTGGTACTTCCACACCACAACTTACCACTTGTCAACTTTAAATATTAAATATAGGTCGAAACTCATTGATTATTTCTAATATTAACTGAGTGTCACCAAATGCACAACAAATAATCAATTTATTTAATTTTGTAAGGCAAAGAAAAATGATTTTTTTTCAGACTCATTAATGTTGAATCTAATTTAAAATAAATAAACGATTTAAAGTCATCTAATTTTTCACCGAGTTCAAAAAAAGGAGGAGGTTCTCAATTCGACTGTATGTTTTTTTGTATGTATGTCATACATACATATGAATACATACATAACACATATGAATCCGGGTTTGCGCACTTTCCGGTAACCAATTGCAATAAAACTTGACAAATTACATCTATTTGCCATTCCATTCCACGTACTTTTTAGGTCGGTTTTTTTAGTACTCTGTACTGAGATTATATGTATAATTAGTTTTGTATCTTACATTCTGTTTACATTCACAGCAAACGTAATAGATGGTTACATTTTGAGTTTCTTAATTCTTTATTTTATTATTAAGCGATGTATTTGTAATAAATAATGAAAACTCGAGATGTGTGAAATACGAACTTTGCTCTCATTTAAATTTAGGAATTTTAACCGTGGTTTTTGGGGATTTTGAACAATTGGCATTGGCAACGCTGGCTCCGACCTCCGTTAAAAATCATAGTTTTGTGTCAAGTTTATAGATAGTAATGACGGAAATTACACGTTTTTTACTATAACATAAATAAAATCGTGAAAATGAATCACTGCAGAATGAGGCAGATAGAGGAGAGGCATGTTGCAAATCAAGTAGATCTAATGGTTTGGAGTAATAAACTCGATTTACTGGCGATAAGTAATTTCAAAGGTAAGCATTTAATGTGTTGTTTACAAAAAATTGCTTTAGATAATTCAATATTTTTTGTGCAGGTATTTTTCTATAATTAAGTGGGTTATAGATTGTAAAAATGTGTATTTATCTTGTTGTAGGTGAAGTTCAAATACACAGGCTGAACTGGCAAAAGGTGTGGAATTTTTCTCCTCCAAAAGATTGTACTAGTGTTCGCGCCATGGCATGGCGACCTGATGGTAAGGTACGATATTATTTCTATTTTACTAAAATTAATTTTATTATATAAAGTTAGAGCTAGTACATTTGCAGCAGGCAGTCTATTTATTTCACAGTTCCACATGTCTTAATCTCTGCTTCGACAGTAGCTTCCTTTTATGACTGCCTGCTACGATATTTTATTTACATTTCTTATATAAAAGACTATCACAAGTGTCACTAGAAGTTGAAATATTGTTAAACTTTATCTTGTGCTTTAATTTTTTATAGACTTGCCAATCATTTTTTTAAACTCTTTCCATATGACTTGTGCACCAAGTGTATACAAGTCGTACATTTAATCCCAGAAATAAATTTAATTTTACATTAAATTATTTATGTCATTTGATGTTACCACACTTTGGTAGTGATTCCCTAAACTGGTAGACACTGATATGACTGTAACATGCTTTGCCATTGTTTGCAAATTATTATTGTCTCATTCATATTTTTTTTTATGATTACAGGCCTTGGCCATTGGTTACAGCACAGGTATTGTGTACATAGTCGACATTGAAGATAAGGAAGTGCTGGAAAAATTAGATCTGGAGTTGGAGATGTCAGAAGAGTTTGAGGATGCCAAGACATATGGCATTACTTGCATCACATGGGCTGTTCGTGAGGGTGCTTTGGAAAATGCCACTGAATATAATGTTTATGTACATACTTTTTTCAGTTTTGGAAAGTTTGATACATCTATAAAAACATACACAAATCTAGGTTTTATGGCTCTTGTTGGGGGATTATAATATAGCCTCTCAGTATATCTTTCACTATGCATAGGGCTCCTAAAGAGAGGGTAATGTAAATGTATGAATTTTTAAACATTCCAGGAAGACACATCAATATTCCTACAAAAGCCTCCATCTTTTAGCAATGGATTCCAAAAACAGGATTCGGATGATAATATAAAAGATTTCAAAGAAGTACCAGAACCCACACAGCTGAATATGCTTGTAGTTGGCTATGGGACTGGCTATGTCTACATGAGCATTTTTGGAAGATATCCATATGGGACCATCCATCTTGCACAAGTTGCTAAAGATGAGTGTGGAGAGTACAGAGTTCTTGATATTTGTTTATCAGATGACTTTAGCATGATGCAAGTTTTCTACCAAGATAGATCATCCATGACCGTTTTTGTAGCATTAATAAACACAAGTGTGCTCTCAGCATATGCAGAGGAAATGTTCCTAGTGGCAAATAAGCATGGTCAAGTGTTGCAGTTGATGTCGTATTTGGATCAAACTATGATTTCAATAACTGAGGCTTGGGAACATATTTTACTGGAAATGGATAATAAAATGGCTAATTATGCAGCTTCTGTACCTGAAGGTGGGGTTTCGGCTGACTTGTTGGAGCTTCTTATGCTAGGTATGTGTTCAATATGAATCCATTAAATAAGAGTTAAGTTTGGTTTGAATTGAAATAAAACCCCTTTATATTTGCAGGTGTACCATCAGATGAACTAGAGATATTCCTTTTACAAGATTTAACAGCAAAAGGTTTGAAGAAGTTTGGAAGTTCAGTTGAATTAAGCTATTCAACCATTCAGAGATTGGTTTTAAAACAACTGAATATTGTCGGACATAGCCTAACATATTATCTTTCTGAAATAAGAGGGATTACCAGAATACCTGATAGATTTAAGGTAGTGTTCAAATCCTGATATAATAAGATGTCTTTTTGAAGAACAAGGTTCAAATATTGTTCCATTTGTTTCAGATTCTGGGTATTGAAGAGAGTGCTGTGACTGAAGCAATCAAAGCATGTTGTGCATTTCTCAATAAGTGTTTGGAACTGCAACAGGTTATTGACTCATCAATGCGCAACTATAAAGGATTCTTTAGATGGCTATTTGTAGCCATTGTCAGGTTACTGGACGAACTGATGCCGAGCAGTGACATTGTCAAGATTACACAGCAGGAACTCACTCACATTGCTGAGTTCTTGTATAACTTCGACAATGTTCAAACAACAGAAGGCAGTGGTAGTGGTAGTGAAAGCCCTGATAAAACTGTTAAGTTCAACTTGGAGAGACTAGGACAATATCTTCAAGACCAAGATTTGACAATATTGCCCGATGACGAAGATAATCCTTGGTACAAGTTCCTAAGGGCCAATACTTGCATATTGAAAGAAAGTGAAACAATATTCAATATGTCAGAGTTTAGAAGATTTTCTTTAGTACAACAGCAGAGATTTTTAAAAGATGCTATTTATAAGGTGTTTGATGTCACAGATAAAGACATTGGCAGAAATTTCTCTATATTGTTTAATATAAAATGTTATGAAGATAAAGTCACTGTTCATTCTGAAGAGAGCTTAAGGCTGACTCAAATATTTGACTCGCGGCATCAAAGATTTTTGACAGCATTTGTCCACACAAGTAGTGAGGAAGGTATTCGCTTTGTGGCAGCAGACATTAAAGAAAAAGCTTGTAATTCTTCAGCTGTTAAGTACTACTTCACTTCCAAGCTTTTACAGGATGAGAATGCAGATGAACGTCACATGTCGGTCTTAGACCTACAGTTTTATTCTCCAGATTACCTTTCTGTACTTACTACTCATCCTCATAATGAAGACAATACTGTATTTATTCAGCTACCTCTCAAAAATGCAATAGATCATTCAATGGAGTTTCATATCAAATGCAAAACTTGCATTTTCACTGACAGCATTTCAAGGATAAATATTTCTCCACTGTTGGATGAAGGTGTCTATAAAATTCTTGAAAAGATGGATGGTTTTCGAATTGCTGTGTCTGTAGGTCGAAAAGTTGCTGTGGTGTTGTCTAAGAGCCACAGAAAAGTAAGGATATTTGAAATGGAAGCAGATGGCGAAGACGAACAGGACGAAACTTTAGATACCACTCCACAATCACAAGATGCTTGCGGCGATCGAAGCTCACCAGATAACCAGAAATCCGAAGATTCAAATGACGATTCATCATCATCTGATCAAAATCTCTCATTTTAATTATGCTGTAAAAATAAAATACGTCATAATAGATATAACATCTTTTTTATTAATTAACTATTTACAATTGGTAAAAAAAACCCTAATAAGTTGCTACACTGATGTAACTTAAGCTTATTTTAAATTGGGCAATCCAATGCCAATGTCCTGCTAGACCTGCCTCTCAATGGTAGTAAAATTCTCTACACATTATGAGTAAGAGTGGCATTTTGCCAGAAATTCTTGCTTATTTATAGACATCATACGTTAATCGGCACTTACAAACATGCAACAATAGGTGAAATAAAATGACTTGTTTTCAGATTACTGTGGGTAGATTTTATGTATACTTTGAATCTATGTATAATTTGAAGCTATTCATAGTTATGATGACAACGCTTGAAAATCTTAAATTATTTTCACATGTGGACAAAAGCGTTCTTGACCTTTTAACTAAAAACTAATCTCACTAAAACAAAGAGTAACTGTTTTTCTTAACATTATACTATTAAATTAGACTAGGAGGGGTTTTCATTTGAATGTTTTCAAAAACTGAATTGAAGTCAGTGTCTAATCCTTGATTATCAATGCCATACAGTAAATGCTCTGAGGATTGATTTCTGCTTGGACCTGCAACAGGTTGACTGTATGGTGATTGTGCAGTTGTAGTTGTTCTATTATATACTTCTTCACTATCACCTTCTTCGTCTTCAGGATCATCAACTGTAATTGAAAGCAACCTAATGATAGGATTTTCATTAATTACTCTTATCTACCTAATTGAATGTGCTTGTAGCACTGGATCCAATCAAGTGTGCAACAAAAAAGTCAAATTATTTCTCCATCAACCTTTTTAAATATTTAGTCCATACCTCACACATTAAATCCTTTATATATATAAAGCATGCATACATAACATATTCCCCTTATATTATATTCTAAATTCATAATAGTTAAATGTTGACAAAATATAATATACCTGAAATCATACCCCGGCCATCATATTTATTCCATTGTTTTCTCAAGCGTAGGTAAAGAACAACACAGCTGATAATTACAATGATGGAGATTACAATTGCTATTAGTTTAAATCCATCCATCGCAGAGAAGGAATCCTTTACTATCATCTGTACTTCTCCCACAGTATGTCCATTGTCTCCCAGTCTTTGGGATACACATTTGTAAATGCCCGACTCCTCGGGCGAAACCCTCTGAAAATATGATTTTTATTTGAGAGAATTTTCAGTCTGTGAAGGTTAATGTCTTTTAACATGCCATACAGAACAGCTGCAGAAGAAAATTGGCTACAACTCCCCACTAGGTAAAGCAATACAATTTTCCACTAAGATTAAGATTCAGGTAAGCAAACAAACTGTTGGAACATAATTTAAAATGAACAATGTATTGCATAACATGTAACAGTATACTCACATCAATATGTAGCTTCCCAGATAACACTTTATATTTATACTTTTGCTCATCATAGTCATTGCCTGGACCAATCACTTTATTGGAACCTAATATCCAAAACTTAAAATTGTGGTCAAAGTCATTGCTTTGACATTCAAGTATGGCCCTACTACCTGCAGGCACTTCAGTCACTGTAGAGTAAGCTGCACTATCAAGTGTTGAAGACATTTTGCTCAAATATTTGACAAACACCTATGATGCCGCTGTTAGATCATCAGACTCTGCCACTGATGGCTTAATGAACACTTCACTAATATCAATGAATGTGTGCCAAGTTTAAAATTATCTATAATACTCCCAAAGTCACATGCCTACACAGTTGAGTATAAATTTATTTAAGGTACATTATTACTCTCTGTCATAATGTTTGTTTACTAGTTGTTTTCATGACATTATTAGTACCTGCTGCTGCCACTAGAGTGTTTGATGAGGTGCATAAAAACCTCCACACAGAGGACAGGTAGGAGCATCCAAATTGGCATCATAACTAAGTAAATTGGAAGGTTTACCTTGTTGTACTCTAATTTTATGCATATTATGATTTGCGCTGCCATTTTTAGGCCAATAGCGGTGATGTACCACATGTGTTTGTTGATTGTCCCTCGAAACCTTTCGATACCATTTCGACAATGGGACACCATGTGAAACAACACGTATATCAGTAGTATGCTGTCGTAAACCCACATAGGTATGAACACAATAAACCAATTCCAATGTGTTCTCGATTCTAAACGAAGACATAGTAATATTAGAAATACTAAAAATATGAACCACGTAAACAGGGCCCGGTGTAAAATAGCCATTTCTTTAACTGGATTCTTGTGAGTGAACACTTCATATGAATAAGTTTTAGTTGTAATCAGGATAATTCTGGTAGGAATAAATAAATACGTTTTCTTCTTCTTTTAAATGTTATGGCTCCATCGAAATAATCAATGTTTTACAGAAACGTATTAGTAGTTGGTGCTCTTGAAGAAATGTCAAACACACAATGGAGAACATATGTCAAACAAAATGTGTTTAAAGGTCCATTCATCATCCTGCACTGCAGCGTGCCCTGCCGTCCGCCGTGCGATGTAGGTCTACTGTTGGGTAATTTTCCTAAAAAATTCAAACAGTGGAAATTTTTCCGGCAAAATTGAAAAATATAATTTTGACGGCTCATATTATGTTCTACGTTTACAAATATCTTTTGAAGTTTTATTTAGCGTGCATTGTAAAATAAACATGTGTAGCTAAAAGCCATTTAAAGAAAAACGAGATTTAAAATGATTTCACAACGGCGAAAAAATCCTTTTGGCTCCATCATTTTCATTCGGTAACTTCAACTTTTGACAGATGTTAACATCAAATGCAAATTAAAAGAATAAATAATAAATAATATTGGAAAAATTTTCGGAAAAATATGATATTTTTTCAAAATGGAAATTTTTGCAGGACCCAACAGTACGTAGGACAATTAATTGCACGCTGCAACTACATTCACAGTTCTGCATCGCGCGGCGGACGGCCGGGCGCCGCACTGTGGGATTTACAAAATTCAGGACATTGATTTATTCACGATACTTCTGTAAAAAAAATGCCAATCGAGAGATCCTATTGTCATAATTAAATACTGTCATATCACATTTTGTCGTAAATAATTTAGTAGGAAAAAATAAAATGTGTACTTTTTGTATGGGACTATACCTTTAGTACCCCATTGTTACAATATTAGTCGATCCAGTCTTGGAATCACTACAGACGTATTATTAGACTTATCTTCTATACATTTGCACACTAAACGCCTAAATCTGCTCTTTAATAATTTATATGAATCAGAATGCGCGCCAGGTGGGCTACAATGCAGGATAATGAATGGGTACTTTGGTACTTCTATTAGGATTATTGGCTTGGATACAAGTTCTTTGAGCCAGGTCTTAGTTGGAGTTGGTGGTGGACAGAATGTGGGGAAAGCGTGTTTCATTTTATTAGCTTAGACAAAGTAAAGATTTCAAACATAACAACTTCCTTTTTTTTTTTTCACCTCTAAGAACGACACACAGGTTTTAGTTGTATGGTAACCTTTTTTTTAACATCTCCCAACAGAGACCTATTTGTTCTGAAATCCTCCTGTTCCTGGGTCTGACAAGTGGTTACGTGAAAATATCAGCCAGCTGATCTTCACTAGTCACCTTGCCGACGCTCAAATCACCACTTTTCACCAGCTCTTTAACAAAAAAAAAATCGCACCCGGATAAGTTTAGTACGATGGTGAAATTCAGGATTTTCTGCTAGCCTTTGCTAGCCTTTGTTATCAACTTTTAAATACGGAATCTTCTTAATTCTAACAAGATCCTTTATTACTCGAGACAGCCATATAGTATCTCTAGCAACTTCGCTAGCTGATACAATTTCAGCATCTGTAGTCGAACTTGAGAGACTTGCCCGTCTTTAACTCAACCACGAGATGGCTCCTCTCGCATAGTACCCCGCTTGTGGATATTCCAGTGCTGATATCCTCCGCATGATTAGCATCGCTGTAATATTCCAAAATACCTTGTTTGTAAATTTTTCTTATATTTGATATCTAGATCTGGTGTGTACTGCAAATACCGCATTATGTGCTTTAGTCGCACACAGTCTGCTTCTTCTGGTTTTTACAGACAATGCCAGGTCTAGTGCATACCATTAAGTAAGCCAAGGCTGCAACGATCAATCGTTGCAGCTTTGGCTTACTTAATACAGATCAATCTGTAATTATTTTTCATGTAACACATATCCACTTTCTTACTTGACGTACTGTCTTTTACAATAGGCGTCAAGACCGGTTTACAAGTATCCATCCCAAATTTCCGCAAGATCTTCTTCTGTACATTAGAAGTTTGGAATTTTTGATTCCATCTCCTCTGCTCTCTATCTCTATTCCTAAGAAATAAGGGACAGAAAACCTTTAATTACCAGTCTTGCCTTATATTTATCTACAGAGCCATAGCGTTTATTTTAACTCGAAATACCCACTTGCAGGATAACTTTTCTTCCTTTCGGTAGGTTTACAAGTTTCCACGTATAATTTTCTTTTAATGAGTTAATCTGGCTTTCTATGGCTTTCTCCTATAGCTCTTTCTCCGGGCTTGTAATTGCATCTTTACGCGACGTTGGCTCATTGTATCCCATTACAGCTTTCATGATAAAGTGTTTGAATCGATCTGGGGCACGTAATGAAAAGCGATCATGAATTCCCATCTGATCCGGGAACACGTCTTCGTGATCGACGTGATCTTGACTTGTAATACCTTCGTCTACGACATTATTTTCATCAATGATATCACCTTCGTCACCGTTATCTTCATCAACGGCATCAATATTATTCTCCCTCGATTCAATAAACTTTTCTGGCAAAATGTTTTGAGCATCATGATATTCTTCATCAGCTTCCAAATATTGTTCATCGATGCCATATTGAAGTTGTTTTTCATAAACTGTAAAAAACTTGTAAAAAGATCCACTTCGATTTCATTTTTATTATTTAAGGGTTCATTCATACAAGTCCTTACAATTATATAACTCGAATTATATTCGAGTCATGAACAATACAATTTACCCATGGATTTTTATTTGAGTTTCAAAGTCATCATCATTGTTGTAATCAATTAAATGCAACGTGTAGCTTTGTGAACCTATTATACTCAAGTGCTTTATCTGAGGCTTTTTGTTAAGCCAAAGTTCATAATAAGGTGATTTGTGTTCCACTGTAGTTGATCCTGTCCTGTTCCGATTATAAACAGCAGTGTTTATCATCTCAGCCTACACATTCTGAGGTATCTCTTCATGCGCGTGCATCATTGCTCTAGTAGATTCGACTATAATGCGGTTTTACCTTTCGCTACACCTATTTGTATATTGTTCTGGCGTGTACGGGGTAATAAACCTTTGCTTTATTCCACTTTGTTCAAGTAGATCTCGTACTCCCTTGTTATTTTATTCTTTCCTGTTTTCACTTAAAATGTAAAATGGAATTTGGGCATTGTCGTCATACCTAAAAACAGTCGTCTCCAAAGATGTCTATGTAGATTGAAATATTTGTTTCCGGTATAAAATTGTCCCGTGTATTAGCTTTTTGCATTGTATTAATAGTATCTTAATTCTTTTTGTCTCTTTAAACTGATGGTTTTTTAGCCAATGCTTAAGAAATGGATGAAATAATAAAACTTTTCCTTTATGATAACCTTTTATTATTATCTACTTTATTCGTTTTAGAATTTTTGTCTAAAAGCTATCCGCTTAAAAAGATATACACATTTTAAGCATGTCTTGAGAAAACAAACTTAAAGAAAAAATATTGAACAAAAAGCCAGTGTTGTCAAAGACAATGGAGTACATAAGATTTAACCGCTTTAGAGCATAGATTATAAGTATGTAAAGTACTATCAAAATTTTGTTTAGGTTCTGTCTTGAGGAGGAAATTTTAAAATAGTACCAATAAAAAATTAGGCAATAAACACCTTTTTAAAGTGTTTTGTTGGATAATTACTGCGCTTTAGTTTTTAGTCATGGGGAAACGAAATGGTGATGGAAAAAAGGACATGGTAGGTAACTTACAGTGTGAATATCTCAAATACTTAAAGAATCTGCAAAACAATATCCATGTATAGTAGACTGAATTATTTGAATCTGCATGTGTATTGGGAGCCTGTACTTTATTGTCCGTACAGATGTTCCGTCGTTCTCTGACAATGTACCGGGTTTTTCAAAATGGACATAACAATTTTGTATTTGAATAAAACAATCATTGAGATATCGAGCTGAAATGTATTACAGGTGCAGCACCCATGTTACATTTAAGAATGGAATGCGATCTCGTTCATACGACCGCCGCGAGCACGTTTGCAGGGTTCAATTCTTTGGAGCCATTTTTCCACCACTCTTTACATATCTTAGTATCTTACTATCTTTGATATTGTTCCTGAACTCATTCAACGTTGTTGTTGGCTTGTTGACATGAACCAACGACTTAATGTAACCACGTAAAAAGTAGTCCAACGGCGTTAGATCGCATGAGCGAGGTGGCCATTCGAACGCACCAGTTCGCGAGATTACATGATTATCGAACTTCCTCTTCAATAGAACGATCGTTTGACCAGCTTCATATGCTTCTTATGATCTATATTTCTTTTTACTACTTTTTTCATTCTTAAATGTAACATGTGTATTGCAGCCTACTTACCAATTACGATGGAACGTAATATTGCGTGTGGTGTACCTATGCGTACCTATATTGTATTTTTTACTTTAGGATCCCGAGGTGATCATGAGGAAGAAGTTCCTAGCAAAATGCAAATTCAAAGCCTGTGGTCGGTTAGTGATGGCAAATGCGTACTGGTTAATAGAGGATGTAGATCAGTACGAGGGCGTTGACGATGTCAAGCGCAGAGTCGAGCAGGCTGTACGCGTTAAAGGCAAGAAGCAACTATTGAGTGTTAAAGTTAGTGAAATTTTGCATAAATACTGGAGATTATAATCTCAGTACAGAGTACTAAAAAAACCAACCTCAAAAGTACGTGGAATTACGTCCATTTGCTAAGTTTTATTGAAATATCCTTAAATTCGCCACTATACAGGAGTTGACACTGGAGATAATAAAAATCGGTTCTCACTACTCAAAGAATATTGAGAGAAAAACGCCTTGAATTGGAAAAATAGCAAAATTGATTTTGCCATTAAAATAATTGCTCCTTAAGAAAATTTAGGCGCTATTTATAAAAATGAATATTCATGCGTAAACAGCCACCCTTAGAAGTGGAGATTTCTTTCAAAATGAAATGGGATCACTATGGAAGTACCCCCTTTCCAACAAAAAAAGAATTGTGAAAATCGGTTCACAAATACCGGAGTTATCGCGTAACATACGTACAAAAAAACAGTCGAATTGAGAACCTCCTCCTTTTTTGAAGTCGGTTAAAAATAGGCTTTTCACCTCGGTGTTTTTCATCTTATATTATCTTACATTGTCATATCTTACTTTATGATTTTTTTAAAGCACACTATGTATTTAATTAGACCCCAGATGAGCACTAAGATCTTAATTTCAAATAATTCCATACCTGAGAAGCATAACACTGTAACTCCATTTCTTACGATTTTGAGTTTTTAACGGTATCTTACATAATTTTTCGAGCTTTATCGACCCATAAAACTGTGAAACTACGAAAATCGCCATAGGTACTGAGTTTCTTAAAAGTATTTTGATGTAAGACCGCTACCCACTACGAAGCGTTTTATAGTAGGTAAGTTTGGAGTTACAGTGTTATGCTCAATTTTAGTACAGATACAGTATAATTTATAAGGTAACGAAAACAAATAATAGTATATAGACCACGATTCGCCGGTGCCTAATCAAGGACTACACCGCGAAATCCCCAAATTGAGGTTAAATAGTCTTGCTATTCTTACACAAATTCAAGAAAAATTTCTGTTTAAATATGAAAAGTTCCTGTGCAATCAAAATCCAATGAAAAGTGGGTTCTGTTAACAATATATCGAACAGTTTGTTACAAATTGGCCATGATTCAACTCGGCAAACATCTCCATGTCAAAGCTACAAATTAGGTTCTCATTCGAGTGATGTTTGTCTGTTTGCACAGCGAGTGCAGTTTCTATCTACTGACCCGACAGATACGGAGTTTTGGATAGACTACGGGCTCCTCGGTAAAACCAGGGTACGGCGGGCATCCGGGCCAAGCCCACCGCCAGTGATACGCCTTCACGGGCGTCTCTGGTAGACTGGGACTTAGGTATGGTATAGTTTGTGATTAGCTGCAGGGATGAACACGTTCGTCTGCCCCGGTAACATGTGGCCGGGGCGTTTGTCCCGCACGTAGCTATCGTGTTTTAGTGGCGGTCTAGACGAGGGCCTAAGGCGGAGAGATGCGCAAATCACGTGCGTTGTGCTTTAAGTCGGCAGCTATGTCCGGATATTGTCGCAAGACACTACGACCAGCATCTTCGGCACTAGCCCGGACAGCCAGTAAAGGATATGCTAGACATTCTTTGATCCCTCCAGATGCGTAGGTTTATGGGAACTGCAGAGACGTTTCGGTGTCGAGAAATGAGCGTGCCTACAGCTCCGTCACCAAAGAGGAGATTGGTAATTGACTTAGAGTCGACGGCCTAACTGCGCAACTAAGTGAGCGTGCCTACAGCGTCGGTACCTATCGAGACTATTTTCCAGAGGGTGCTGTACGTGTACCAGGGGGAGCTCACCCTAGGCACTAGCCTTTTGAGAACCGGATGAAGTCCGTGCCAACGGGCTGATCTGAGGCCAAAACCTGACTGAGAACCCGACTGGTAAGGTTATAGTGCCGTTCCCGTGTAACCAAGAGGTTGATATGAAGGGTCACTATAAACAAAACTTATGTATGTAGATAGATATGGGGGCTGTCTGCACAGCCAGACGAACAATGAATTCGTAAAGAATTCGCAGAGATCGGGCAAAATAGCCCTCAATTATTTGATACTGAAAATTTCTTTGATACTCCCGCTGATCTTTATGCTACAGACAATAACGATTCTGATTTTGACTGCAAGCCTCCTGAACCAAAACTTCACACGGATAGATCACTTTACATAGTACACGTACGTGACTCCGAAATATCAGGAATTATTACTATTTTCATGAAAAAATAATTAAAAAAGTAATTTTGAACATAAATAGAAACTTCTTTATAAATTTTGTAGCAATAAAAACAAAAGAAACTATTTTTAACTAATGTAACCTTTGGCAGTATCTGTCATTCCATCACACGGTCGGTACCTACAATGGTTTTGTATTTTTAATTCTCATTGTAGGTACCGACTGTGTGATGGGATGACCGATACTGACAAAGGTTACTTTAGTTAAAATAACAATAATAACAACAATTTTCATGTTGTATTTTTTTTTTCATTTGTAAGAGGTGTCACATTACATTAACGGTAACTTTTTTCTATTTGATTTTTGTTTCAAAGCAGAACACGGTATGTTAACTAGGTTTTTTGTTTTATTGTTATAAATATCGCTAAAAGTAATACATTGATCTCATTATGTAAACAGCCTTGATCTCTAATTACCAAACTTTGAATATTAGAACATACTGTTATTAGGAATTGATCAGTTTTATTTTTATGGCATCTTAAATGTTATACATGCTGCATTTTGGCATAAAATCGCTTCTCCTGTAAAATTATAAAAATGGCGGTTACAGTGTACCTAATGCTTCTCAGGTACAGAATTTATCCCAAGTTATGTAATGTATTTTCTTTAGGTATTCGAACAAAAGAGCATAAGCAATATGAAATTCTACTTGTTATCAAAGAGTTCAGACTTTAGAGTACCTTACTACTTACTTATATTACTTGCAGTATGTTCATTAGTATTCGTATCTACAACGGTTTTAAATGTTTAACCAAAACGTAGATACTTTGCGGGAAACATAGAGAGCTACGCGAAGTTTTTCTGTGTGATGGAATCTGAACTGAAAAAGTCCGAAAGAACTAGAATAGGTACCTCATATAACGGAATAAGTGAAAAGGCAGTAGGTGGAACACATAAAACCGTAGAACTAAAATTTTGAGTGATGTCCTTGAATTGGAAAACCTGATGGAAGTGACCCGCTTCTAAATAAACCGATGCGGTGCCTTAATAAGTGTGCGGAAAATACGATTGTAAGCGGCAGACCCGTTACAGTAGGTGCTTCGAGTGGTAGTCTACTTTTTGAGATAATGATGATCACAAATTTAAAAAAGTTTCGTTACATATTATCATAAATGATTGTTTGTGTTTGTAATTAGGCGTCTTGAATCGATTTCGGTTCGAACTCTATAATTTTCACAGGATAAAGCGTTACTGAACAAACCGGCTGCTGAACGTTCAGACAACGAGAAGAGATACATATATCGCATTATTGGCGGCTTGAAGTGTTTCAAACGTTATCCTAACGTAAGTTTCTTAGAAGTAACCAACGATATTGTGTATATCTGTATATTATACTCTTATGTAGTTAGATAAAACATAACAATAAAACAACCTTCTGCTTCTACTTTGTTTTACGTCTTTACATAATCTTAATGTTGTTTTCCGTTCCGATTATACTGGTTATGTTTGGTTAGCTTTTTTTTGTTAACGGGGCGGAAATCTTCCAAAGATATGTAGGGTTGTGTGGGATGTTTACCCACTAAAAGACCCTCTGTGGCTGTCCTCTGTGCGTGTTGGAATGCATCGGGATCACCAACGGAATGCAACCAATGCTTAACATGCACGTGCCCTTTCGGGCCCCTTCTGGACTTGTGGCCCCCTTCGTTCCTCGTTCCTACCATGAGATCGGTATAGCTACGTACAACCACCACACAAGCTGTTTTCCGGAATGGCTGGAATGTTTGAGTGGACGACCACAGCCTCCACTATGACCGTCCGCGACTCCGAGGCCCCTATTAGTCGCCTTGTACGTCAGGCAGGGGATACCGTAGTTCTATTTTTTTGCCCGAAACTACAGGGCACAGCAGCGCGTCAATCACCGCCCCTACATCGCCTTCTTTGAGTGAGATCGGCTCTCTGCCGTTCGCGCTCAGCGTTCTCTTTCTGAACCATGACGGTCTCGCAGAAAGAGACTACCGCCTTCTAGTGGTGTTAGTGCCTAGGGCTACCTAACGTGCTTTCGTTCGTTTTTTACTGAACGTTCGATATCCATTCGATCACAAGAATGTTGTAATGCCCATCATGCACCTTTTCGTTAGTATAATGTCTAATATGCTTGGCGCTCAATCATCCGTATTGTATTTACTGCCTCCGTAGCTGAAAGGTTACCATGCTGGGCTACCACGTAGAGGTCCCGGGTTAAATTCCGGGGCCGGGTATTATATTTGTGCGGCCTACATTTACATTTATTTACTTCGTGAGTGGGTGTAATTTGTGGTTGTCTATGTGTGTGCTTATGGTACCTACAGCACAGGGTCTCCCTAGTACGGGGTTATGGCTATGTCCGTTATTATTATTATTTACTGTGAAAAAGTATTAAAGTTTAGTTTTATTAATTTCTCGCGTCATTTTGTACAATATAATCATACAAATCCTATACCAACACCCACGCGTAGTTACAGCACGATTTGGCGTTAACGACTGCACTGTGTTGTTAATACCTCTCGGAGCTAGCATGCCGAAGTGCTGGCGAATAGAGATTTATAGATAAGTAATGCAAGTGATATTAAATATGATATGACGAGATTGTGTAATGTAATATGAGACATCACTTTGGAAAATTAAGCATCACTCAACATCACCCGACCCGATGCTGCTATGTTTGTGTTATTTAAAAATTGTAATACTTCCTTCGTTTACATTGCTTAATATCTATTTGATCTAGTTTACGCATATTAGTCGCCGCAATGTACGAAAAGAGTGATGGTTGAGTGTTAGCAACATTAAATTTATTACTTTTTTAATAAAGCAGGCATGGGGTGAAGTGATAATGCTTATAACGCATCTCATTTTATCGGGAATAACATGCAACGCTGCATTACTTTTCGAAGCACGTTTTGCGCATGTTAAGCGCCGATGCATTTCATATTGGACACTGGATCAGTAATTAAAGAGATACCTCAATTATAATTATGATAATTATCTGACATTATCCGATGTCTACTAATTCATAGCTTTTGACTAAAAATGACAAACAAGAAAACTAAATAAACACGAAGAAAAGTCTTTGGGAAAGCGATTTGGTTTGTGATTTTTTGAAACATTTGACACGTTTAGAAATGTCTCTAATACAAACAATTTGGTAGCGGTAGCGTTTTATTGTTCCAATAAATTTTGAAAATTTGAAGATAATTATCACTGTATATTTATCAAGATAATTATTGTGACAATTATCGAAGATATTTATCACTTCGAACCCATGACATCTTATTAATATTGTTATATTACAGACCGTAAAGAAGAAGTTAGCAGCAGTAACGTATTTCAAGTACTATGGTCCTGGTCGAGTAATAGTGCGCGAAATGCAGGAGGCACACGCCATGTATTTCATTGTGAGCGGAGAATTGGCAGTGACTCGTCTGGAATTTGATCCCATACTCCAGAAGAAGGTCGCTATGGATTTAGGAATTATGCGCTCCGGTGACATGTTCGGCGAGGTTTCCTTGCTGCATAATATTCCGAGGACTGCCACTGTAACTACAACTGGTTAGGTTACTTTCTTTGCCAAGTTATTAGTGATTTTTTGAATCGATTCATCTGCTGATGAAATAAGTTAATATCAGGTTCAGGTTACTTTTTTTAGACTTATGAATGTGCATAATGTTTATTAATAACCTTTAGCGAAAATGCACTATCGTCATGTTGACACAGGAGTCAATACATCAAATTGAATGCCATTTACATGTTCGTATTTAAGTGAAATTGATTTCAGACCACTGCGAAGTGTTAATATTGCTAAAGGAAGACTTCAAGGAAGTTCTTTTGGTCACCGTGCAACAGCAGTGGGATGAAGTCCGCAGAGCAATGTTGATGTTCTCTTATTTTGAGTCGTTCGATGAGGTACCGAATTTTTTTATGTTTACTATTAATTGACAAATCATCGCTACGTAAATGGGCTACATGAAGCTAAGGAAGGCCTAATGCAACACAGAGGCGGCGGCGGAAGCGTTCCAGGCGCGGGACTTTTTGTAATGTACGAGTTCTTATGAATCCTGCCACACTGAAACGCGCGGAGGCCGCGCGGCAAGCCGAACGCGGGGCGGGTGCGGGCGCGGGTGTTTTAATACATTGAGTTCTATGCATAATGCAACCGTCCACACAGAGCGTCAATGGCGGGGCGCGGTCCGGGAGCGGGACATTAGCGGGGCTTCAGCGGGTTTGGACGTTGCATTTTTTTACAACAGTGGAGTGTGTTTTAATCAAGGTGAATTCGACCGAAAATTTTATATCATTGGTGCAATCATACCAAAGTTTATTTAATACAAGTGATAGAAATTATAAAAACAGTTTAAAGAAGGAAATGAATTGGGAGAAGATTTCCAAGGAGCCAAATCAAAGTCGTGAGTGTACTATTTTTTATCTTATTATACCTACCACTAGGCCAACGATTTGTTCATCCCGCCATTTGGAATCGTAAAAAAAAGAAAACCTGGATAGCAAATATCAGTGTGTGTCTGTCCAAAGCGTAGTACTAGGAATGTGGAACTTCCGCAGGCTTAGCGCTAATAAAAGAAGAAGTTCTTCTTCATCACTATCCGACAGTGACATGGTGCTTTCTTTATTTGTGTTGAAAAGTTAGAGGATGGAAAAAAGGTTGAAAATGAAGTGTGGCGTGACGCCTTCGCGCCGCTGTTCCGCCGCGAACTACGCGCGGGACTGCTGTGTGGCACGCCCCGGCACGCATTCGCTTCCCGCAAGTCCGCCCCCGGACCGCTTTTCCCACCATACCGCATCTGTGTGGCCTGTACCGCATCTGTGTGGCCTTACTTTAAGAGCGGTTACACACAGCGCGTTTGCAGCGTTTACATACACTCGCGAATCATCTACCTATACACACAGGCGCGACTTAAGCAGCGGTACAATCGCGATGCAAACGCGTTCCACGTTTTTAATCTTTCAACATAAGCGACTTCCTTGATGCAGTCCTGCGTTTGTATCGCTACTAAAACGTCGTCGTGTGTTTTTTGCGTAACAAATTGTTGAAATCAAAGTATAATGTTTGGTTATTTATATGTACAACCTTGGCAGCTTATATCGGTCAGTAGCATCAACTCCATAAACAATCTGTCAAATTCAGATGAAAACATGCCTCTTCAATAAATGTAGTTCTAATTTTTGCAACGAAAAAAGAAAACTAATAAACTACAATCATTTTTAAGGTTACACGTTTATCATATATTATATGGAACGTTGGTATAACCGTAACCCTGGAAATAATCATTAACAAACGTAAAAGTCAGTGCTCACAGTTATGTATTTTTGTACCTCAATGGGTATCGTTACTGCTTAGTTCATATCTTGTTGGTTACCTTGCACATTTTTAGGAACATAACATTTATGAGTAGCTAGTTTTCGTTGATAAGGAAACGTAAAAAGATATAGACTCAAAGTGCTAAATATTGGTAAATACTATAACCATAAAAAAAGCCGTGGTAGGCAAATGGTTAACTTACCGCCGCTAAAGCGGGGTCGAGTGGTTCCTTTGAGTTTTTCGGAGTTTATGTGCAAAATTTAATCTGATATTTAACATCAGCTCTTAGGTGAAGGAAAACATTGTGAGGAAAGCTGCACATATCTGCAAAGTAATTTGAGGATGTTTGTGAAGTTTTCAACCCGCATTGCGCCTGTGGGCATTGTGAGAGGAGGCCTGTAAATATAGGGTATTTTTTTTAATGGGACAGTATTGGGAACTCCGAGACCATAGGGATACAAGGAAACAATTAAGTCTTTTTTGAGAAAACAATTGTGGGATAGTAAATTTTTTGGTCAAGCGTGACTTGGCCATAAAAATGAACAATATTGATCATAATTTTGTTGGTGCTGATCTACTCACTTTTAAGAAGAGATCATTTCATTGTATGGTACGAAGAAAATCAGGACAGCAGAAGTTGGTAAAATTTCTTAAAATATTTTTTCATACAAAGGGATGAAAATTGAAACATTAAAACATTTTATTTAATTTGACTAACTTCTGCTGTCCCGATTCTTTTATTGCAATACAATAAAATAATTCTCATAAGAAACTCATGTCTCATAGACCACCTTACTCGGGCGGCAGATGACGCGCAGGCGCAGTTTCCTACAGCGGAATTGGTGTTTTTAGGGGACTTCAATGCTCACCACGAGTCGTGGTTAAGTTCCTCTAAAACTGACCATGCTGGAAGAACTGCCCACACATTCGCTCTCACACACGATTTAACCCAACTGGTAAACCAGCCCACCCGGATACCAGATAGGGTTGGTGACGTGCCCTCTTTGTTGGACCTTCTGCTGACGTCTCGCCCGGCTGGATATCGGGTGGAGGTCCAAGCCCCTCTGGGCACTTCGGATCACTGCTTGATATCCACTAAAGTGGCAACGTTACTGCCACCACCACCTACTGTGGCTAAACGCCGCATTTGGCATTATGCGTCGGCAGATTGGGACGGTATGCGGGACTATTTTGCATCCGTTCCTTGGCGGCAGCGCTGTTTTAGTGAGGTGGATCCAACAGCTAGCGCGACTGCCGTTGCTGATGAGATCTTAATCGGGATGGAATACTACATCCCGCATTCGGATGTCGTCAGTAAAGGGAGACGCAACCGCTGGTTCAACCGCGAGTGTGCTGTGGCTGTTGAGAACAAACAGACTGCATACCGCGCTTGGATCAAGGGTCGAGCTTCAGACGATCCCAATACGAACTCACTTAAAACAGCCTACAATAATGCCACCAGGTCTTGCAAAAGAGCGTACATCAGAGCGGATGCTCAGCGCGTCGCACGAGTTGGCCAAGAACTCCTGACGCATCCCACTGGTAGTCGTAGTTACTGGCGTCTGGCCAGAGCCGTTGCGTCGAACTTCTGCCAGCCCTCGCTGCCCCCGCTGAGATATTCTGACGGCAATCTAGCCCACAAGCCGCAAGATAAAGCCGACCTCTTGGCAAATCTGTTTGCGGCTAACTCCTGTCTCGACGACTGTAACGCACAGCCACCAACTCTACCTCACTGTGGCTACACGATGTCTGATATTCGTATCAGACAATGCGATGTGCGTACGCAGCTGCAGTCTCTCGACGTCCGGAAAGCTAGTGGTCCTGATGGTATCCCAGCGATTGTACTTAGGAGCTGCGCAGCTGAGTTGACCCCCGTGCTAACGCGACTGTATCGTCTGTCACTCTCTTCAGGTCGTGTGCCGGACTCTTGGAGAGAGGCTAATGTGCAACCAGTTCCCAAAAAAGGCGACCGATCAGACCCGCATAATTACCGTCCCATAGCCATTACTTCCATAATATGCAAGGTTTTAGAGCGAATCCTTAACAAACAACTGACCCAATACCTAGAAGATCACTCCATAATTAATGATCGGCAGTATGGGTTTCGTCCGAAACGATCAACGGGTGACCTTCTAGCGTACTTATCGCATATTTGGGGTGAGGCTATAGACAAACGTGGCGAGTCGTTGGCTGTTAGCCTCGATATAGCCAAAGCGTTCGATCGGGTCTGGCACAAAGCTCTTCTCTCCAAGCTCCCAGCGTACGGTTTGCCAGCCCAGTTATGCAGCTGGATTGCCGATTTCCTTCGTGAGCGGAGAATTCGCGTCGTTTCTGACGGCAGCATTTCGAGGTTCGTGAATGTGAACGCCGGCGTACCGCAGGGATCCGTCCTATCTCCCACGCTTTTCCTTCTGCATATCAATGATATGCTTCCACTTGGGAATATTCATTGTTATGCAGATGATAGCACTGTTCATGGGGGATATCACGGATTCCCCGCAGCTGGGCGCGCCGATACTGACAGAGAGCGATCTAATCTTGTCGGTGAGCTCAATAGGATATTGGACCTCATCTCTGCATGGGGATCTAGAAATCTTGTTGAGTTCAACGCCAAGAAAACACAGGTTTGCGCGTTAACAACAAAATTATCGGCGTTCCTTCCCACGCTTTCTCTGATGAGCACAGCACTCTTACCTCAGAGCAGTTTTTCCTTGCTCGGTATGGAAATCTGCTGTGATTTGAATCCAAGGAGCTACATCGAATCAGTGATCAAAACAGCACTGAAACTCGGAGTCCTGAACAAGTTGCGACGTTTTTTCACGCCGGACCAGTTATGCCTGCTGTACAAAACACAGGTCCGGTCTTGCGTTGAGTATTGTTCGCACTTGTGGGACGGCTCCGCCAAGTACCTACTCGATGCGTTGGATCGTCGTGCTACTCGAATTATAGGCGACGAAGAGGTCTCATCACGCCTTGAACCTCTGCAACTGCGTAGAGATGTTGCATCGCTTAGCGCCTTTTACCGCATGTACCATGGTGAGTGCTCTGAAGAGCTGTTCAACCTCATCCCCCCTTCCCCGTTCCTGCTCAGAAGCACGCGTGCTGGCCTTCGTAGTCACCGTTTCACTACCTGCCGCATTCCATCGCGTACTAAAAGGTTTGGTGGCTCCTTTCTCTGCCGTACGGTTGACAAATGGAACTCCCTTCCGGCACATGTCTTCCCTCCCTCTTATGATATGGGGTCCTTCAAACGAGGCGTGAAGAGGCATATTGTAGGCAGGCAGGGTGGAGGTGGCTAGTGCAGTGAGGGTTTCATCGCTGCACTAGGTTCCTTCGCATTTGGATACCACTTTCCACTTAACATCAGGTGGAGTGGAGTCATTTGCCTGTAATGTATAAAAAAAAAAAAAAAAACAGTATCAGCGTAAAAAAAAATTAAACAATTTTATTTATTTTGTATGAAAAATAATTTTATTTAATTTGACCAACTTCTGCTGTCCCGATTTTTTCGTCCTATACAATGAAACCATCTTTATAAGAATTTGAGTCTATTAGCACTAAAAAAACGTCAATATTTTTCATTTTATGTGAAAATCATTTCATGAAATTTGATCACTCCCTCCAATTTTGTGCCTAAGACTATTTCCTTGATCTTCTACGGTTTCGGATTTTCTTATAATTTCTCATTAAAAAAAACACTGCATATTTCCTACTGCTGGGTACAGAATAAATATTTCACAGTTATTTTACTAATAATAATAATAATAATAATAATAAAATCTCTTTATTGCCTCCAATGTAAACAGAATTTGTACAAAAAAAAAACGGTAATAAATAAAACTTAAATGACAAATAAACTTATATTAAATGACGTAATAAACAGGAGGCAAAAGGAGGTGTCTCAGCTGGTGCTGCGCCTGTTGATGACAGTTGCAGCGCTGGTTTTCAGTCACCCCCTTCTCCCTTAGATGAAATGCGGGATAATAGTATCGAGGACAGGGCTATTATGTATCAATTTAAATCTAACATACTATTTATCTAAATACGAACATATATATGTACTTTCTTTGATATTAGTAATAAAATCAGTCAATAAATTTCATAAAAAATAAAGAAAATAAAGAAAAAACAAGCGAAATATAGTGAAATCAGGTTAGGTAATCCTAGTGCTATTCCAGGCATGTGTGTGAATGTGTGTGAATGTGTGTGAATGTGTGTGAATATGTGTGTGTGTGTGTGTGTGTGTGTGTGTGTGTGTGTGTGTGTGTGT